CCTTCTTCTTTGCTCCTCCCCCATTCTTTACCTTGTACTCATAGGACTTGTGGCCTTCCTTGTGGCATACGTAGCAAACCATGGTTTGTCCTTCATCAAGCTTCTTCACTCCCTTGACGGTGTTATCTTGATGAAGTTGTGTTTGCTTCGCCTTGCCTTTCACTTGAGTCAAGTCCTTGGTGAGGCGAGTTACTTCTTGCTTGAGTTGCTCATTTTCCTTTACAACTTCTTGTGTGCATGTATCTACAATAACATTCTCAACACAAGCTTGGTTGCACAAATGTGAGTCTAAACATAAATCATTGCAAGAAGTAGAGGCATCCTTTTTAATTGTGTCATTTCTTTTAGATGCCATGGTGGGGGTTATACTAACGGCTTCAAGATTAGCAACTTTGTTAGTTAGCTCATCACAATGTTTGCACATGGTTTCTATTTTTGCAAGCAAACTTTTATAAGCATCTTGTGAGCTAGCTAACTTTTCTTTTAATTTTTCATTTTTCTTTACAAGTTGCTCATCATTTATTGTGCATTCATTTGTTGTTGCACTAGCCTTAAGTTGATCAATTTTAGTAGATAGTTCAACATTTAGATTAGCAAAGTTCTCATATTGTTCAAGCAAAGTTTTGTATGCTTCTTGTGAAGTATCTAGCTTTTCTTTTAAACTTTTGAGCTTCTTTTGTTGACTAGTGCAAACTTTAGCATATTTAAGATTTTGTTGCACAATTGCATCATAAGAAGGCATATCATCATCACTATCACTCTCACTAGAGGATGAGCTTTCGTTACCTCGTGACATAAGGCACACACGTGAAGAGTTTGATGATGAGTGCTTGCGGCCTCACCTCTTGTGATGGTGTTCTTCTTTACTTGAAGAATCATCCCATGATCTTATTGAGGTGAGGGCTTGGTTCTTGCATGCCTTCTTCTTTGTCTTGGGTGTGGGCTTGTTTGGACAAACTTCCACAAAGTGCCCCAACTCGCCGCATCCATAGCATCCTCTCTTTCTTTGCTTATTTCTTTGATTTGTGAAAATGGGATCTTGAATTTGGATGGGCACACCCTTGACATTGAGTCTTTGGATCATCTTCTCCACCTTGTTGATTAATTTGATTGATTCTTCATCAAGGTCAGAGGTGGAGGAGGAAGATTGATCATCACTTGAATCTTCATCATCATCATCGTCCTCATCTTCATCTTCACTTGAGGAGTTTGAGTTTGACCTTGTCTCAACGTGCTTGCCCTTCATCTTCTTTTTCTCGCTACATGCGAGAGCTTTGCCTTTGCTTGATGAAGAAGCTTCTTCTTGACCCATCTTCTGTAACATTTCAAATGCCACTAACTTGCCAATGACAATGCCCGGGGTCATGGTGCTCAAGTTCTCCATGTTGTGAAGGATGGTGATGATGCTTGCATATTTCTTTTGTGGTAGCACGGAGATAATCTTCCTCATGATGTCCGCATCATCTAGCTTTATTAATCCTATTGAATGAAGCTCATTGATAATTAGATACAAACGAGAGTACATATCACGAACAAGCTCATCATCATTCATTGTAAAGGAATCATAATTTTATTTAGCTAGACAATGTTTTTGCTCACGGACATTACTTGTGCTGTCATGGAGCTCTTGGAGTTTTAACCAAATTTCATGTGCCGTATTTAAAGTAAATATTTGGTTAAAAACATCCATGCTAAATGATTCAAACAAGCAATTCTTAGCTCTAGCATTGAAATGCATTTTTTTTATCACTCTTTGTGGGGTTTTCGGGATTCTTGATGGGTTTCATCCCGTCACGAGTGACTCTCCATACACCCAAATCAACCGCCTCAAGGTGGCAAGCCATTCTAGCCTTATAATAAGGGAAGTTAGTGCCGTCAAAGTGCGGAGGCCTAGAGGTATCCATCCCAATCACTCTAAATGGCGTCGGCTCAACGACGGTTAAGCCAAAGGTCCAAATTGAGCCAACCGGCTCTGATACCAATTGAACGGACCGTGACACCTAAGAGGGGGGGTGAATTAGGCAACTTAAAAATTCTAACTCTAAACTATGGCCTCTTTTTCTTACTCTAGCAAAACCTATGCAAAAGATAAACTATCTTAATGTGCAACTACGGTTTTACTAGTGTGTTGCTATCTCTACCGCAAAAGGAATAATATGATCAATGTAAATGCGGAAGCTTAAAGAGCAAGATAGAGATATGTAAACTCCCGTCTACGACTCTGGTATTTTTACCGAGGTATCGAGAAGCGCGCAAGCTTCCCCCTCGTCCTCGTTGGAGCCCCTCGCAAGGAATCCCTCGCAAGGGCCAAGCTCCCGGTCGGGTAACTCCGTGGATAGCCTCGGGCCTTCCCCACGCGCAAGTGGGTCTCCGACGTGCCTTCTGGCAAGCCTCTCCCGGATGCTCCCCGCCGTCTTCACTATCAAGCTTCCGGTCAAAACGTCGCGGGCCTTGTTCCCTTCGGTACACAGTGGCGGCCGCACCACAAACGCGGTTGGTGCGATCTCGCAAGACTTCAAGCCCCTCCGATGTACAACTCTTGTGCTCGCAAGCATGGGGTGGCAAGAGGTATGCAAACCTCACTAAACACTAGGCATACACCTAGAGCAAGCGCATAAGCGGTGGTCTAATTAACCTAAGCACTTCACAAAGACCTACGCTAATCACCTGATGAAACACTAAGCACTATGCAAGTGGAGATCACTAAAATAATGTATCAACACCCTTGGTATGTTTTCTCAGCTCCACTCTCTTCAAATGGCCGGTTGAGGGTTGTATTTATAAGCCCCACTGAGAAAGTAGCGGTTGTGGTTGAATTTCCGCGAAACTGCTACTGACCGGACGCTGAATCGTCCTGACCGGACGCGTCCGGTCGTCCCGACCGTTGAGCCGACAATATACTGATCGGACGCTGGCCAGCGTCCGGTCGCCTGCCACCAGACGCGTCCGGTCGTAGATTTGCCGCTTTGGAACCTTACTGTACTCGATCGGACGCTGTTGTCCTGCGTCCGATCGGTTGCCGCCAGCGTCCGGTCCAGTGTCCGGTCGCCTGTCTGCCGAGTCCTCTGCCCAGCGTCCGGTCCAGCGTCCGGTCACCTCAGTGAGCTCGTTTCTTCACGATCTTGCGTATGACTTGGTTCTAATCTTCATGCTTGGACTTTACTTGATCTCTTGGGTCTTCTCTTGTGCTCCTAAGGTCTTGCTTTAAGGTGTTTATCATCGGATCATCACGTCGCCTTCGTCCAAGTCACGTCTTGCACCCTATTGGACTACAAAACAAACACTTACAAATTCATTAGTCCAATTTGGTTGTGTTGGTCATCAAACACCAAAATCCAAAGTAAATGGGCCAAGGGTCCATTTTCCTTACACTCATCAATGATGTCGCTGTCCGCTTGGCCCTTCCGCCTCGCGCTCGGCTGCACGATGTGTTCCACATCGGTCTCCTCAAGAAGTTCCGCGGGCCGACTCCGGATGCTCCACCACCGCTGCCCCCCATCCACCATGGTGCGTCGGTTCCAGAGCCGGAGCGGGCGGTGCGGGCACGCTCGGCGCGCGGTGTGCGCCAGGTACTTGTCCAGTGGAAGGGCGAGTCGGCTGCATCAGCTACATGGGAAGATGTCGAGGCTTTCACCGCCAAGTATCCAGACTTCCAGCTCGAGGACGAGCTGCTCCTCGACGGGGGGAGAGATGTCATGTGGGGACGCACATATGCCAGGAATAGAAGGGCCCGGGATGCCAGGCGTGCAGCAGCGCGCTAGGGCGACATGGTCGCCGCGGTCACCGCAGCAAGCACCAGCCCAGGTGTCGGTGTAGGTAGCGGCTAGAATAAAGGGAAGTCAATCAAGTGAATGGCTAGAATAAAGGAAAGAGATCCTCTAATTTAGGAGTGATTTGTTAGAGTCTGTCAAGGCTATAGCCTATAAGAGTCCTTGTAATCTATCATTTGAGAATCAAATAAGAACAATTATCTCTCTCTTCCTCTCTCAACCAAAACGGGCGCTGAGGGGTAAAACCTCGCCCCAACACGGATCACGGCTACGAACTACGTAGTCGGGTGCGCCTACCCTACCCCTCGACGCCCTTGGCAGCTGGTATATAGTATACTTACGATACTGTCTTACTGAGTGCTTACTCTTCAGAAGATCCTGTTGCCGGTCAAGCAATGCACTCGGTCTCCAAAAACCTATCCGGAAATCAGGACAGGTCACTTTCCAAACGGCTGTTGTGAAAGTCCTAGCAATGGCTCGTGCGTGTTCAGAGCAGCCGCAGCAGCCATCATCATGACATAATGTGCAGGGAAGTTGTTTTTGTCTGCTTAGCAAACATGCACGACTTACCAGGTCTCTAGGTTCAGCACAACTATAGTTGCAAAATATATTGTACACGGGGAAAGTGTTCATGGGAGCTGTATCCGTTTGCAAGGCATCGAAAAGTTTAATACAAGTTACAGATTCAAACTCAAATGAACAGGTTTCATTATGAATACTGTATCATCGGCAAACGAAATAAAACAAGAAAACGTTGTTGAAACTGTGATCATGCAGCTACAACTCCAAGGGTTCCCTGGATAAGACACACCCCATGAATCACAAAGTTATATACACTTAATGCCACTGTAAAATCACAGGCAGAGGTGGATTTAAGATGTAGCACGATATATTCTCAAGGTTAATTTCAGTTAAAACTGGATACAGGGAACAGAACTGAAAATTACATTATGCACGAATATCACTTTTTCAGGATACAGTTCAGTGATTAGCACATTACTTCTACAGAGGTCACAGGCATCGAGTTAAAAAGCTTTATCAATGCCTGCTTTCATAGAACTTGCTCTCTCTTCTTTTTCTCTCTCTGTTACTTTCTTCCTGAAAACATCATATTACAGTGACTAATTGATTAACAGCGAAATGAAAAATGAATGAGGTCAAGGCTGTCATGAGACACACCAAAGTGGCATGAATCGTGGTATACAATACACAATATAGCACCACAACGTGTCAGGGCTCTTGGCTGTTCACACGTTTCTGAAGCTCCAGCATTTCCTGGTGATTCGGGTCCAAGCAAAGGGCGGCTCTACAATCACGGAGAGCGCTCGGTACATCCCCGATGTGCTCATGGAAAGCTGCCCGGAGATGCAGCAAGTGCAGGTCGGCTTTGAAGGATATCGCACGGCTGAGCTCCGCTATTGCATCGTTCTCCTTGTGGCTATCCATCAGCACTGTGCAAATCAAAACCAAAACAATGTTTTAACCAGATTTATATGCTGTGCAGGGCAATACATGAAAGACATGAAAAAGATGTATCATTGTCTAACACGTTATTCATCTTAGAACTTTCACAAAGACATGAGTACATGACATGAATAAGGAGTACTTTTACAGGTATGAGAGTTTTCAAAAAGATGAGGTTGTTACGCCTGTGCATATTTTTATCCTAGCACAGGGTGGCTCTAAGTTTAGCATAATGTACTTGATTCTCGGCTGCTGCACTAGTCAAAGTGGTGCAGGGTTCAAAACTTGTGACCAATTTATGTTAAGAAGAGGAATTCTGCAAAGTGATACAATCCAGGAAAAAGGACAAGTGTTTGCAGCGATAGTCCAATGAACTTCATGTTAAACAATAAAGAGAAGGTAATCACCACCAGGGCAAACAGAGTAAAAAATGAGTAATTAAGTGCACTGTGCTTAAAACAAAGTTTCAGTATTAAAGCTATATTTGAACGATGGCTACAGTATCAGACATTTTAGATAAGAAACATAGTATTTCCATTTCAATCAATACACTCTGAACCCTAAAACATGGGGCCAGTAGCAACAGGTAAAAGTTATTCAAAAAGGAAGACAGCTACCAAAAAAATGAACAGAGAAACACTAATATTGCATAATGCAGCATCTTAAGGCATGATCTATTGGTTCTCAATGCAGAACTGAAGATGACGTAAAATACAATGCAGACTTTTGCATTATTATAAAAATTTATTGTATGTTATCAGCAAACCAGAAGAAAAGTTTCAATTTGATCCAACCTGCTGCTCGATATCTGTATGGATAAACACGTAAAGGATCCAATTGGGTCACGGTTTGCAAATCTGTCATAGTTTGTTCTCGTTCGCAATATTCTGAACGTTTCTCATAAGCCGAAGCATTGTTTTTAGCTTTTTCTATCAACTTTGTCATCTCTTCATATGCAGCTTCCCTGTTGTTCCTGAGAAAATGAACACGAGCAAGACCTTGATGGGCTCTAGTGTGTCGAATCTTCAATGCACTTGTATAGCAATCAGCTGCTGAGTCTAACTTGCCACAATCAACATAGACACCACCAAGGTTATTCAATGCCTGCAGGTAAAACAATGCACGGAAAGTGTTAATGACCCCTTGTCCCAAAATCCACACATGAACAAATATCAGATGTTCTTGGTACTCCTAAACATTCTACAGCATTATGGATTTCTTTCATGTTGTTCAAATTCCTGAGCTTCTTTCAATTCCATTAAAATGCATACACTGCATTGCAATGATCAGGCTTCAGTAGCAAAAGGAACATGCGAATTGTGACAGTGTTCATAGATACTATAATATTTTTTTCTCCCTCAACTCTCATTTCTCATGGCAGCTAATACACCAGCAAACGCTATGCTACATGACAGCAATCAGAGAGAGCTTGGATCACTCAGTGTCTAGCAAAGCATATAAAATCTTAAAGAATTCACGACAACGTTGGGTGAACCAAGTTGCCCTTGAATTTACCATGTTTAATTGAAGGTAAACTGAAGTTCAAATGCAATGAATTATCAAGAGTAAATAATATCATGAATCACTTTTGCATTGATAAACTGCAGCACAGACCTGACCCTTCCGAAGCCGATCTGAAGGGCATTTCAATGCATCTTCAAGAAGCGAGATAACAGTCGCGGAATAAGAAGGATCAACTCCTGAGTCGGCCAAAACATAGGCTTTCAGAAAGAACGCCTCAAATGATCTTTGAATAGAAATAGATTCTTCCGCTTTTTGTAGGGCCTCCTCACAGTGCCCTGTGTCATACAAAAGCCACCCCTCATAGACTAGTCGTTCATGCTCAGTTGCTGCATGATGCCTTGCCAATTGCAAACTGCGCATCGCTGCCTCAGGACAGTTCAACCTGGAAAAAGCCCAAATATCAAGCAACACCTGTCATTAAATTGGCAACCAAAACAGCCACAACAGAATATCTGAGAGATGTGCTAGTAGAATTTACCTAAGGAGCAGCAAAGATTGCCTAAAGTACAGGACACCTTTTGCTGCATCTGACTCAAGCATCCGATAGATCACTGAAAGGGAACCAATATCATCCACTGATGACCAGCGCTCATAAAGTTGTAGCCAACACTCAGCTGTATTCCACTGCTCGACATGTGCACCCAGAAGAGTGCCTATTTTGGAAGCAGCTACACGTCCTTCCAACATCCGATAATCAGGTGAAAGAGTAAGAATCGCATGGATATCACAGATGGCAGACTTATAGTCTTCAAGAGCCAAGTATAGACAGATCCTTAGCTCCAGGCACTCCAATGCTAACTTGAAACCCAAGAGTCGATTAATTTCCTCTAAGGCAAGTTTAGCATCTTTCTTTCTCATCAAGGATGCAGCTCGATACATGTAAGGGTAAGTGAGAGTAGGATCCAGCTCACTTGCTTTGTCAAGGTCTGCCAGCTTTCTATCACCTTCAGAATACAACGACCTCTCCAGATACATCCACCCCAGTGGCAAATTTGATGTTATGACTGAACTGATCTTCTCATAAGCCAAAGCCTTTTGGCCTTGTATGCCAGCGATTCTAGCAATACCAGCAATCGAATACACATGACCGGCAGAGAAGGCAACCTCAAATCCATGTTCAGCTTCACTATATTCTTTTCTCAAAAGTCTAATGCATCCAAGTTGATGAAAAGCTATTTGCTTCTGAGTAGGGGTAACTGCTAGCTGAACAAGCTTCTCTGACAAGAATACAGTTGTGTCTGTCCTCGGATCAATGTTCATTGCTACTTCACTAAGCAAGCAATACAACAAAAAGGACGCCTGCCCAACCATGATAAGTTGTTGCTGTGCAGTTGCACCTAAGAAGAGGCTAATTACTAGATCATCAGCTAGACAATCGGGAAGTTCCTGTAAAAGCATTTGCAAGCAAGAAGCAGCAAGAACTGGCGCATTTTCTTCAAATGCCAATGTCATGAGCTCAACGGCATCCTGCCTTGATGAAACAAATGAAGCCAGTTTCCTATCACATGCATCTTTTAGACTGTCACAACAAAATGTGTTTGCAAACACCAGGATCTCCAATAAGATTTCCACAGGCAGATCCCCTAAACTACATGTAGAACTAAACTCAGAAACAGCTCTCATGCCCTCCAACGAAATACCATTCTCTGACAAATCAACAAGCTCAAGCTGTGACTCAGTGAACGGCCCATTAAGCATGGAGCAAAATGGTATTGACAAAGACGCAATCTTGCACCTATCACATGTCACCCTACCATCCTGTATTTGGAAGGTTACCATGGAAGAAAGTTGAGATGAGGAGCCTGTCTCCCATGAACCAATCACCTCAAAATTCCGCACAGGCATCTCGGAAGCAACATCAAGTAGACCAAACTCTCGACAGCATTTCCGACATGATGCAAGGACGTCAGATATGATCTCCTCCCCCCGCTTCTCGTAACGCAGCCACGCCCCAAATATGACTTTCTCATGGACAGCGCTTGCACAGCGCCAGGCAGAGTGGAGACTCCTCTGGCGCAATTTTGCCTCCCCAAGGCCCCGAAACACCTGGGACTGGACCAAGTACAGCCCTGGCCGCTCGCTCGGGCTACATTGTTCAAGCTCCTCGTGGATCCTTGACAGCACCTCAACATAATCCAAAGGTTTGTACAACGGCACTACAGGCGGCTCAGCAATCTTGATGAGTGACTCACTGCACAAAGCAAAAGAGTTTTAGCTAACCAGAAGATGCAATTCAGAACCATCACAGTATTTACTGAGCTAAGGAGTGAGCAAAATGCTGGAATGGCGTCGAGCTGGGGCTCACATGGAGGAAGGCGAGTAGGACGACTTGGGCAGCTTCCCTCGCTCCACCTGCAGCCATGACTGCGGGTTGAAGCCATATCCATGGATGTGCTGCTCGTCGCACGGCGACTCTGACAGGAAGCTGCTCCTCATAGAGCACAGGAGCGAGAAGACCTCCCAAATCTCCACACTCCCGGATTTTCAAACGAATCACAGATGCAAATCGCGAGGGGCTGGCATAACCACGCCAACCGCGGAAGCTCACGGAGGGAAGCCAAGAACCTAAGAATCAGAATCCACGCTACTCCCAGCTAATTGGGGGCAAGACGAAGAAGAAGGTGTCGCGAAGGAGGCAGCAGCAGGAAAAGATTGGAATTTTGGTGCCTTTTACAGCACCGATCCTCCTCCAGGGGAGCCGGAACAAATCCGGGAAGGAAAGGCCGAACGGCCCGCGAAATCGCGCGGAGAACGGCCCCGCCGGACCGAATCTTGGCCGGGAAAAAGAAATGCAGCCTCGGGTGCGCGCCCGCGACGCCGCGCACGGCGGGGCCGAATTCGACGGATCAAACCAAGAACGGAGCAATGGTTGGCGGCAGGAAGGAGCAGGGCGCGTGGGGCCCGCAGGTAGTGGCTGCGTGCGAGCTCGGATTCGGATCCTGCGGGGGGCAGCTTCGTGGAGGGAACGGAGGGGTGGGGAGGAGGAAGACGAAGAGAGGAAGGAGGAAGGGGAGGCGGGGAAAGGAGGATTCTTTTTTATTTTTCCTTTTCGTAGTGGATGTAGAGAGGAATAAACAAAGCAGTAGTAGTGGTGGTAGAGAAAATATTTAATTTTTGTAGGGTGTTTCTTTCGTGAATAATAATAATAATAATAATAATAATAATAATAATAATAATAATAATAATAATAATGGTCCTGTTCGTTTGAGCACATTTTGGTTTATAAAGTAGTATTTTTCAGTATAACAAGCGATTTTTCTCTCACACCAAATCAAATCGGTAAGTGATCTTTTCAAATTACGCCTATCAGTCAAACAAGTTCAAACGAACAGGACGAAGATGCTTGTGCCTAGCCCAGCCCTGCACATGAATCTATGCAGAGAATGTGGTCTAATCCTCCTTACATTTACCTTACGGTACAATGATATGTTGATGCGAAAGAAAAAGACGCAATCTTATTCGAATTTTATGAGAAAAAATCAAGAGAAAACGAGGGTGTACTCTATCCATTCCAAATTATAAGTTATTTAAAAAAAATAGACACATTACTTTTGTTATGCATCTAGATACATATCTATGTCTGGATACAAAATAAAAGCTATGTATTTAGAAAAGTTATAACAACTTATAAATTTGAAATGGGTTGAGTAATACTTTTGCACCCCAAAGATATTTTCTAGTTGTTTAGTTGTGATTTAAGGCCCTGTTTGGTTGGGCTTTTGGCTTTGGCTTTTGGCAGCCAAAAAGCAAAAAAAAAAGCCCAACAAAAAGGGTTGCTTTTTCAGTAGTTCATTTTTGAAAATTTGGGTTGACCTCGCTTTTGGCTTTTAGTTTTTACGCTTTTGAAATTGGTGGAATAAAAGCTCTTCCATAGTTGTTTCAAGAGAGATAAAGATAAAAGGTATATTTTATACTTGTTTAACCAAACAATTTCAAACTTTTCTACATTTCACTGACCCACAAAGAGCTTTTTCCGAATTTACAAATTTCACAGTGACTTTTTTTCCACGTACCACACAACTCAACCAAACAGGCCTAAGGCTTCTTGGTAGCTCTCCAAAAGTTCATGGTTTGTTGATAGTAGGCGCTCGTTGTATAAGTTATTTTGGGTAGGATGGTATATAAATGGCATGTATGGAATGGTTTAAAAGATGACAAACGTGGATACAATTGAGCAATCTAGAATATCTTATAATTTAGAAATTTGAAATAAAATTTTGAAGCTTTGATGAGGACGGAAGGAGTAGTAAAGTTTGGTGTTTGTTGAGATCCATAACACTTTTCATTTGCTTCTATTTTTTCATATAATGATGATTGGCTGATGTGTTGTCACGTTTGGTAGCAATTCTAACTAAAGCTAGTTAGTGCGAAGGCAACTGCAATGACAACCTCTAAACCATATACTTTTGTAGTCACACCCGTGCAAGTCCGTTTCCGTTTGTACAATATGTATGTTGGCACCTGCTATATATAGCGTGTTGTCATGTTATCCGTTGTTTTCATTTTTAAGCATAACGTGTTCTAATCATAACTAGACTAGATATATTTTGTGTGACATTAAAAAGATGAAAGTGGCGCTTAACCAACCCATTGTTTTTCTTGATAGCGTGCATAATAAATATACATATTTTCATCTATATGTGCTTCGATGCAAGGGTTTGGAATAGCTGAGTCATACCTATGCCTATGAGTATAGATTTTTTTTTGAAACTTAAGTTCAAGTTTCTCCTATGAATCTAAATGGTTTGTATATACGGCCAGTTAGTTGGGCATGATATACATCCGTTTAATGGAGGGACAAAGCCAGGCCAGTGCTACCAGGATGGTAACACCGGCCTTGCCTCTAGACGGACTTCATATAATCCTAGGAGAAAGATAATCCCAAAAATTCAATCTATTTTCAATCAACTCAGCACCTCTTGATGCCTAGTTTAGCACCTCATTTGTATCCTTTCCGGCTCTGCCCCTAGTTCACTGCATAAATAATTGTAAAAAAAAAACAGAGGTAAGACACTAGTACCACAACAAACAAACCCAATAATGGAGTGTCCTTTTCCATCTGCTTGTGCATGAATTGGTTGAGGTGGATGGACGACCAAGATTGGATTTATGGGGTCACGAGAGTCAGAACAGGTAGTGAGGGGTTTTTTTTTTCTTTCAAGTGGAGAGCAGGGATTGGTTGGGAAACATGCGTGCATGCATGCATTCGCGTCATCATCAAAAGTACAACTAACAAAGTCCCAATGTTAATGAAGACGCTTTGGACATTGGACAAAGGTTGTTGAAGCGTCATAATGCTCATGGTACCGTTGCAATGCGAATATGAGTAGTACATGCATGGTTTTGAAAATAATTGCGTCGGAGTACTAGTGCAAATGAACCTACTAGTAGTCCCGGCGCAACATCCCGAAAATCTTTCTCTGATCAGCAATTCGACTTCGGAATAGGGTAGAAGGCTTGGATCCTGTTTACAGTATCTACTGAACTTTTAGCATGGAAGTCGCAATCGTCTGATTTCTCGTCGTTAGTAGAAAAACTAGTTTCTTGGGCTCCCTTAGTCCCTTTTCCTAGTTTAGACTTGTTCGACAGTAGTTTTGTCCGGCACGGTGTCGCATTGGCCGTTCTATATAGCGCGACATCAGCCGTGATCCACGAGTGAGGCCAATCAGACGACTATATTGATAGTTAAAAAAAGGTTAAACAGACTTTACCAAAAAAATAATTATAGAAATATTTCCCACCAATTTATCTAGTAATTTCTAGAAAAGTTATACAACTAAAAATCCTAGATTTTGATTTTGTCTTAGAAATTTTGTTTTAGCTCTCTCTCTCTCTCTCTCTCTCTCTCTCTCTCTCTCTCTCTCTCTCTCTATATATATATATATATATATATATATATATATATATATATATATATATATATATAAACAGTTTTAGATTTCCCTGAAGTCATGCACTACCTTATATTGTCTAGCTTGGGAACATTTGAATTTTATACGATTTGCTTTTTTGTGTTTATTTGTCAGTAGAGATTGTCACACCCAATTTTAAGCATAAAATTGAATGCACTAAACTCATGTGTGCCCAGAGATCAGTCACATACATAAGCTGACAAATTATAAAAAGTATCATCACAGTGTATCTTACATCATGATTAATAACATAACATAGTCTTACACAACACAGCGGAAAATAAAAGACAGCTCTCTCGTGGAAGCTCCAACATAGGGACGGTCAACTGGTTGACCACAAACCTATTAGTCCTCCGGAAACTCCTCATACACGTGGTCATCTGTTACCCTTCCAGGATTTTTATCCAAATATAGAAAGTAAACGAGCGTAAGTACTTCCCGTACTTAACAGGTTAACATGGGGTTATGAAGCTTAAAAAGGTTGACACTGGTTTACTGCAGTTAGCACTTTTAGTAAGTCAAGATTTTATTATCAAGTTATGCTTAAGCTCCCATTTAAACCCACATAATCAGATATCAGAATCATTTAGATCATATTATCATCGTATAACATCATAAATGAACAACAATAAGTAACCAATTATTATGTGAGTTTTCCGGGCCGCTCGTGACCGTGAGCACGGCTGTTATAACAGTTTGTAACTCTCTGCAGAGGTGGTGCACATTCACCGCGAGTCGTGATTCCCATATGCCCGGGTTAATTACTCCTATATCACTGCTAAGGTGAGCGGGCAGGGTACACTATGAAGCCATTTCATAGGTTTATCTAACAAGTTAGGGCCGCTAGGTTTCCTCGGCAGGCAGATGTAGGAACCCCCATTTCCTATGGCACATATCCATCGTGGCTATACACATAAGAACAGAGGCAGTCCTATATCCAACGTGGCAAGCTCCTTTTGCGCCGTAAAGGTAACCTCTAACAAGCTAAAAAAGGTCCTATTACTGAGCTAAAGTCAGAGCCATATGACCCTCACGGTTGCACTGTCAGTCCCAGCTTTTGCCGATAGATAAGTCCTTATGGAGGGCCGAGCGCATCATGATCGAAAGTCATTCGCTCCTTCGCCTTATAATTCAGTTGTTTAAAAGCAACTTTTACCTTTTCTTTCCATAGAATCATTGTTCAATATGTAGAACATGTATAGTTATGTTGAGCGCTAGCAAACTACCCATATGCATATAACCCATAGAAGACAAGAAACAGGATAATCAATCACTAGGATATCCTTACGGGTATCAAAATTAGACACATGCAAATGAGTAATTAATAAAGGTGAATAGGCATCAAGGTAGATTCCATGCTATATTTGCCTTGGTTAGCAAACTCCTGCTGGTCCTGCTGGTTGTCAAAGAATTCTTGGCCTCCAACGTTCTCCTCACCGTCTGAACACGACCAACACGGCAACATACAATATTTCAGGAACATTCATGTAAAGCAAACAATCCTATGGTTAGAACAGTACACCA